GTATGGTATATACTAGACATAGGGGGTTCATAGTTTGAAACATTAGTAAACCTTAGTATAGATGTATGGCATATACAAATGATTGTGTTAAACCTAAGTCATAAATCAGAATAAAGTGTATATCTAACTCCAAAACAAACATGTCTCTTCTTTCCTCGATAAAGCAAAGCAACAGAAGGAGTCAGGACGACGCCCTCTTGTCGATCGGAGAATCTGTGGCCGTTTCCTGGAAGACATTTGATGTTGCATGTAAACCCATATCAAGATATGGGGATTACTCTAAATTGGAAAGGTCAGCCTTATTTGCATGTCTGCATTTCTTTAGTCTGAAAAAGGTTGCTGAAAAGATCTCTTACGATTCAACGTAGCGAAATAAACCCGTATCTCCAAGCGACCATGTAATATTCTGTTTATTACCTTTTTACATATAAAGACAAATTATGCTGTAAAATAACAATTTTATGTAGGGATAACAACAAGATGTAAAAATAACATTTTTTTAAAGTGAGCAACATCAGAATTTCATAGATAATATGATAAATGTTTATCATTACTAATTGTACTGAGTACTTTTAGTTGTAATTTCGTCGGGAATGCGTGAGGACATAAAAACCTTGAAATAGTCCTCACAAAAAATCATTCATTTTTGTGCTTGAAAAAAATATCTTAAAAAATACATAAATAGATATAATAATAGAAAAAAAAATGAAAACGGCAAACACGTCATGCAATAAACTCATCAGCAATACTACATACTATCCAATCTAAGTGGCCTTTGCTACTGCATAACAGGCTAGGCACGTAGAACACGTGCTTCAAAAAACTACAAAATAGCGCAAACAGGAAAAAAGAAAACAATTTTAAGAATTTCGTCGTACACAGGCATATTATTATTRATACTTGTAGAGTCTTCTGTGCAAAATTGATTTATTTTAACCAAGCTTTCGGCCTAAGCAGCCATTTTTCAAGGTTCTAGAACACGTGATGATCTAATCTACGCAGCTAATTGAAAGCGCTCGAGAAAACTGTACAATACGCGCACGCTCTGTTTACAAATGAAAGATAGTGCGAATAAGAAATATTATTAGGGCAAATAACAAGAATAAGAAATTACAAATTAAATGGTTTTAAGTAATTGGGTGTAGCTATCGGGCAGAGTTCTTCTAGTGTCCCTATTTGATATGATATGATGTTTTGATCTTATTTGTTTTAGCTATTAATACTGCTTCCATCCACTTCCTTTGGTGCCACCTTGTCTCGTTTCTTAAGACGGAGGTGTCCTTCCAGTTGATATTGTGACCAAGGCGATTGGCATGTTCTGACAGTGCAGACTTGTCTGTCTSTCCGAGTCTAACACATCTCTTATATTCTTCTAGTTAGCTGCGTAGAGTAGATCATCACGTGTTCTACAACCTTGAAAATGGCTGCTTAGGCCGAAAACTTGGTTAAAATAAATCAATTTTGCACAGAAGACTCAACAAGTAGTAATAAGACAACAATTGTTTTTTGTACTTGCTCAATTAGTTATAAAGATTACGATACTTTTGTTCCTGATTTCATTTCCAAACTTGAACTCGTTTCCCACTACACTCAAGTACAAATACTCGTCCATCTGGTGCAACAGCAACATCAACAGGACCAAACATTTGACCAAGATCTGAACCAWAGCTACCAAAGGACCTTATGAACTGACCGTCTTGACTGAAGACTTGCACGCGGTKGTTACTATAATCACAAACAAGAAGCATGTCTTTACCAAWCACGRCAAGTCCATATGCGCCRTYAAACTGGCCATCTTTGTTACCTTTCTCTCCAAAATTGTRCAACAGACGACCATCCTCGTWAAAAACATAAACAGTGTTCATACATGCAAACGATACAAAGTACTTATTGTTAGCATAAGCAAAAGACAAAGGATCCCCATGGCGATCATTAGGAACATCGAGTTTGATGTCATTAATGTCATCCGCACCATCATGACCATTGTGTTGAGCWAATAAATTTATGTATGTGTCTTTAGTATCTGCAGTATAGCTCAAATATGCGATGTTTTGATTTACTTTRCACATTCCTGTKATCAACATTCYTTTAGTGTGTTTRCAAATAGCTTTTTTGTAAGTGCAATTGATATCAAATTCCTTTATAAAGCCAGAACCATTAATTGGATCATTGTCGCTGACCAGTATTTGGTCTTCATTTAACATAACCCCCCATGGRTAACTCAGTTGACCRTCTCCAGATCCTATACCACCAATCTTTCCATACTTTCCATCAGCATTGAACAATACCAGGCTGGAATCCCCTTTACCATTATTATTGACCACAGCTATGTCTCCAGTATCASTTACATCAATTGCCATAGGTCCAGACATCTCTTTCAAATCAATTGATCTCAAGGGTATAAACTCTGCTTTAGCATCAATTGTCTCAATGATCTGTGGTGAGTTTTCGATCTCTTCTCCTCCAATACTCACTACAAYTTTGTACGGTGAAGGTTTCTCTGCTCTATATTTCACTGTGAATCTGCYAGTTTCAGTCTCGGTCAGTTCTTTCTGTACATCGTCGCCGTCAACATCTTGAATTTGTACATAAATTGAACCTTTATTTGTGTAGCATACATTCCCTTCTGAATTTCTTGTCACGATCTTTAACTCGTTGATAAAACCACATCTGACGCTACTTAGACACTCGATAGAACAGCGTGACGGGTCTGTCACGCTTTCCACCACTTCACCAAACTTCAGATTTTCCATAAAAGGAATCCCTTCCGGGTTGGGTTTGTAACACAGGCTTGAGTTTCGCTTGACAGGTTTGGTCGATGAGATGGATTTGTTTTGTAAGATAGCTTTACAGATTACTTGTAAATTATCAAAGTCTTCAGATCCAAAATCTTTTTCAGACATGACTTTTTCACACTGATTTTTCAATTCAGTGACTTGTTGGATGTGTGCGTTGATTTCATTTTTCTCGTCCTCGTTTGAGCTTCTTTGCTCCACAAGGTTTTTGTCCAAGATAGCAATTGAAGCATTTTCGTGATCTTGTAAAATCTTCATCAAAGCTCGTGTGTTATTACGTACTTTTGCCTTTTCTGTGTCAGTCTCGCTTTGAATTCTACTCATATTCTCGTCGGATAGTTCTAGCTCTTTCCTGTATTCAGCAATCAGCTCATTCAAGCGATCAATGTCTTCCCTGATAAGCTTTTTAGAATCTTCTGCTGATTTCTCAGTCTTAACCTTGTCATGGCTACTKTGCGATTTTGCGATACAYTTTTGGTATAGCTGAAGAAGCGAGTTGGACTGAAATGAAGAGGGAAGCTTCGAGATGTCACCTCCTTCGATGTTCACGACYWCTCTACAAGYTGGGCATCTCAACCTTTTKCCTGCTTTCTCGCAAGTTTCGTTCCAACTTTTGATGCAGTTGAAGCAGAAAGTATGTAGACACGGAACTAGTGTCCTTGGATCAGTAAAGATATCGCTACAAATAGCACAGGATAATTGTGCTTCCAAGTCGTTTGTTATACTAAA